GAACTAAGAAATTGTCATAGCTAGGAGGGCAAACTGCAAAACATGAGCTCTGACGACTAAATGCAACTTCCTCCCCCTGTTGCCTCATTCTGGTCTCCATGCTGGGTCATCGCAGCTCTCCATGGGGGAGGAAATGAAAGCTCTCAAGTCCCAGGCAGCCCTGTTGAGGCTGCTTCACAGGACATTTCTGAGGAGATTTTGTTTGTGAGCTACAAAATTAGACCCATAAAGAGCAGGTCACTGATGGGGGATCAAAAGCCAGAGATTTACAGGGCAAACTGAAGTGCCTAAAAATTCTTCATGGAGGAAAAACAGTTCATGGAGTTGAATAAAGCAAGAAGTAGAAGATTGGGCCAAGTAAAAAGTTTGAAGTATAACTTGGCCTTATTCGATTTTTAAAATAGATTGATCCCTTTAAATGTTGTGCAACTAAAAATAAAAGGTTCTCTTTAGGAAGATGAGCCATTAGCAATTGCAGGGCTAAATTTGGGGCTCTCAGGTGAGATGATGGTTGGGTTTCCCATCACCCTCTGTTTTGCTCTGTCAGGGCCTTCCTTTTCATCTTACACCCTTTCAGATTCTCCCTAATTCCCAATTTTTTGATGTCACCCTCCATGAGCATTAGTAATATTTTACAGTTTATCAAAGAACTCTTTGTGTCATTTCGCCTTAAGATTCTAATTACATATCAGCCATGTTACCTATCAAGAGAATCTATGATACCTGATTGTTTTCTTATGAGTATTACAGGTGGCATGCAGTCTGTGGAGCAGATGATAAAGAAGCCTTCTTTGTTGGGTTCTCTGACCTCCCTAGAGAGAGGAACTTATGGTATGCCAGTCACCATAATTTAAAGTCATTAAGTCATTGAATTCTTACAATGGCCTCATGAGAATACTATTATTATTTTCCTTTTACAGATGGGGAAGCTGAGGTAGGGAGCTGCTAAGGGGTAGGCCTGGCTGTTCAGCTCTGCTGGTTTAGACTCCCTCTCTGTCCTCTGCCGCCTGGCTACTAGACTTGACTCAGTGTTGGCCCCATAGCAGCCTGACTTGTTTTTGGAAACTTCTCAGTTTCGGTGACTTAGATGTTGACTGAACTACTTGGCTTATGGATCCCATGTACCTTTGGATTTCTTTTCATATTATTCTCTTGGCTTAGTGATATAGTCTTCTCCACAGCTAAAAGTAAAGGCGACCCAATTTTTTACTCTCCGCATTCAGCTCCATATGATGGCTTGGCCCCAGCTATATAAGGGAGCAAGTTTGGGTAGGATCCAATGATTCCTGCTCCCAGGGACGAATGCTGGTGAGACATGGATTCAGAGTTGAGCCGAAAGACTTAGAGTTGAGGATAGGAGATCCAGTTCTAGAGACTGTTTACCTGACTGAATGCTCTAGGAGGACAGAGACCATCTCAGTTTTGTTTACCTCTAGATCCCCAGCACCAGTAAGGTACTTGGCACATACTAACTGCTCAATAAATATTTATTGAATGAAGACATGAATTAATGACTGACTAGGAGAAGGCAGTGGTATTGGGCAGACTATGGAGTAGGGTGTCAAAGCAGGGCCACTCATATGTTTAGGCTCTGTTCCTTACACACCAAATATTGGGTGTGCTGAATGAGATCTATAAGAGCCATGTGGCCATAGTGAAGCTGAGGCCTTGGGTAGACTTTCTGCTTCCTTCATGGTCTAGTTCAGTAACCAAGAGTAAACTGGTTTCTGGGGAGAGTGAACAGTGAGCCAGAAAAGGCAAGGTCAGGAGGATTGGTCCAAATTTTCTTTTGCTATTACTGGAAGCAGAAGTCTGAGGCACATCTCCTACAGCTGTTTTTCTACTTTCCTTTCAGCTCGTTTCTGGACAAGGCTTACCATTTGCATCAGTGTTTCTTTAAAGCCCAGAGTCTGTTTGCACATACACAGGATGTATAACCATAGGCACATCAGTCCCCTTCCTTTCATAACTAACTCAAGATTGTACTTTTACTGAGATATTTGAGCATTTTCCTTAACCAGCCTCTATCAACGTGCTGTTCAACACTCTCGATGCTACCAATCTTACAGTGTGTTCCTCTCATACTCTTGCCCAGGGATTATGTCTTATCTCATATTTGCATCCTTGATGTCTAGTACAATGCCCAGCAAAGGGTTAATACTCAAGAAATGTGGCTCTGTTACCAATGTTTTGCCTGCAAACATTTTTCAGAGTCTTAATTTTTTTCCAGTTTTAATGAGAAATAATAGACATATATCACTGTATAATTTTAAGGCATAGGCTATGATGGTCTGATTTACATACATTGTGAAATGTTTACCACAATAGGTTCAGCTAACACCCATATTCTCATATAGATGCAACAAAAGAGAAAGAAAACAAATTTTTTCTTTGTGGTGCAAACTCTCTTGACAACTTTCCTATATATTGTACAGCAGGGTTAGCTATAGTCATTGTGTTGTACATTAAATCCTTAGTACTTATTTGTCTTATAACTGAAAGTTTAAAACTGTTCACCACCTTTCTCCAATTCCCCATTTCCCCCACCCTCCATCTGATTTCTTTTTCTATGAGATATATATATATATTTTTAAGATTCCACACATATAAATGAGATCATACAGTATTTGTCTTTCTCTGTCTGACTTATTTCATTTAGCATAATGCCTTCAAGTTTCATCCACATTGTCATTTTTTATGGCTGAATAATATTCCATGGTAGATATGCCACAACTTCTTTATCCATTCATCCATCAGGGAACACTTAGGTTGTTTCCATATCATGGCTATTGTAAATAATGCTGCAATGATCATGGGGCGGCGGGGGGAGGGGTACATATATCTTTTTGAGTTAGTGTTTTTATTTTCTTTGGACTTGTTGGATTATATGTTAGCTCTATTTTTAATTTTTTGAGAATTCTTGATACTATTTTCCATAGTGACAGTACTAATTTACAACGCCACTAACAGTGCACGAGGGTTCTCTTTTCTCCACATCCATACTAGCTTCTGTTATCTCTTGTCTTTTTGATACTGGCCATTCTAACAAGTGTGAGGTGATCTCTCACTGTGGTTTTAATTTTCATTTCTTTAATGACTAGTGATGTTGAGCATCTTTTCATATACCTGTTGACTTTTTGTAAATCTTCTTTGGAGAAATGTTTATCAGGATCTTTGCACACTTTTAACTGTTTTTTTTTTTTTTCTTTTGGGTTGCATGAGTTTGTTATATACTTTGGATGTTAACCCTTTATCGGATACATGGTTTGCAAATATTTTTTTCTCGTATAGGTTTTCTTTTCATTTTGTTGATGGTTTCTTTTGCTGTGTAGAAGACTTTTAGTTTGCTGTAGTCTCATTTCTTTATTTTTGATTTTGTTCCTTGTGCTTTAGGTGTCACATCTAAAAAAATTATTACCAAGACCCATGTCATGGAGCTTTATTCCTATGTTTTCTTCTGGTAGTTTTATGGTTTAGATCTTACATTTAAGATTTCAATCCATTTTGAGTTAATTTTTGTGAGTGGAGTAAGAGAGGTATCTAGTTTCATTCTTTTATATGTGAATATCCAGTTATCTCAGCACCATTTATTGAAAAGGATGCTTTTTCTCCACTGAGTATTCTTGGCTTGCTGGTCAAATACTAGTTGACCATATATGCTTAGGTTTATTTCTGGGCTCTTGATTTTGTTCCATTGGTCTATTTGCCTGTTTGTTTTTTTTTTTTTTCACATGAGTACTTTAGTGTTTTGATGACTATAACTTTATAGTATAGCTTGAAATCAGAAAGTGTGATGCTTCCTGCTTTGTTCGTTTTCAGGATTTCTTTGGCTATTCAGGGTTTTATGGTTCCATATAAATTTTAGAAATGCTTTTCTCTGCTATAAAAAAATGCAATTGGACTCTTGATAGAGGTTGAATGGAATCTACAAATGGCTTTTGGTTGTATTGACATTTTAACAATATTAATTCTTCCAGTCCATGAACACAGCATATCTTTTCATTTAATTGTATCTTTTTCAGTTTCTTTCATCAATGTCTTGTAGTTTTCAGAGTAAAGATCTTTAACTTTCTTAGTTTTATTTATTCCTAAGTATTTTATTGTTTTAGATGTTATTATTATAAAAGGGATTGATTTCTTTATTTTTCAGGAAATTTGTGGTTACTGTATAAAAATACTACTAATTTTTGTATGTTAATTTCATATACTGCAACTTTACTGAATTTATTGATTAGATCTAACAGTTTTTTGATTGAGTCTTTTGAATTTTATATATGCATATATAAAATCACGTCATCTGTAAATAGAGACAATTTTACTTCTTCCTTTCCAACTCTAATACCTTTTTTTCTTTATGTTGCCTGATTGCTCTAGCTAGGACTTCTAGTATTATTTTGAATAGGAGTAGTGAAAGTAGGCACCCTTGTCAGAGTCTTTATTCCTAATCTATTCTCCATCTTGCATTTTCTAAATTGAGTTCTCAGGACTTTTCGATTCTTGTATTTCATGACTATGAACATACTATTTTGTGTTTGAATAAGGCAAGTGCTTAAAGTTTAGATGAACATTTAAAAATTTTTAGTTAAAATAAAATAGTAAAGATTTTGCATCTCACCTTAAGAAATAAAAATCTTGAGAGAAAACTTTGAGCAAATAAGTAGAATGGGTCATCGTGATTCTTTCAAAAATAAGAATATTAAAATTTTCTTATTGAACCATATTCCCTTGACCTATAACATTGAAATTATTACACTAAATATTACTTGTGTTATTATTGAAAAAATACACTTTAAAGTTAATTCAGCCTGGATAATGAATTTGGATGATTAAATTGCATGCCTGAATATGAAATCTACTCTTGAATATGAAAAATAATGAGAGACAGGAATAGCAGAGGTAATTGAATTGCCCCCCAAATCCACACGTCTAATTTTAATAATTTTTTTTAGCATCTCACACTAAGCTTCTCAGCAAGTAGCAAGCGAGCAGAATAGACTTACGGGACTGACTGCTTTTCTAGTCCCTGTTCACCTTTCCACAGAAGTCTCAACCTGCAGGACAGTGGCCAAGAGTACTGCAGCAGGAGGCTGAAGAGAAGCAGAGATTCTGGTCAACTCAAAAATTGCCCAGTCAGCTCCTGGAATAATTGAGAGTCAGCTATAACGAATCTGGTTCCCATCTCAGGCCCGAATAATGCTGGGCATTAACTTTGTCTTTTTTTTTTTTTTCCTGTCTCAAAACCATCCCCGACCATAAGATTTCTTTTCTATTACTCTAAAAATAATCAAATAAAGAATAAACCTTTATTTTTTTGGTCCCAAATACCTTGCATTTCATCTAGAGAAATAAAAATCTTAAGAGCTTTTCAGCAAATGAACAAACGAACATATATATATATATATATATGTATCTATTATATATAATCTCAGTGTGACACCTGAGATGAGCATATTTATCTTTTTTTCTGACTTTTTTTTGTGTTTGAGAAATGAAAGAACTAATTTTGATTTATTACTTGAAAATACATTGGAGATTTACAGCTCTGTCAGGAAAAAATTATATAAAGTAAAGTGTATTTGCAATTGTACACTTCCTTTACCGTCCATGGAGGAAAAAAAATCTTTGTTCTCTAGGCCTGAGACAGGGCCTCTGTTGTGCTGAATGAGGTGTAGGTGGGAGTGGGGAGGAAAATGGCCGAAGCCAAGAATAAGCTAGATTATATTAGAAAGAAGAAGAGAGGGAAGGACAAATATTTTAGGACAGAGACAGAGAGAGAGGGAGAGAGAGACAAATGAACAAATGTGGGGAAGGGATGAGTATGATGAATAGCTGCTGAGAGGTGAGAGACAGACTTTGGAGGTGCTGTGGTGCTCAGGCCAGACTCTAGGAAGCTCAGTTCCATGCAGGTTACACTATTAAACACGGAGGACTAAGCATTCGTAAGAATGTGACAATCCTCACAACTAAATATAAATAAAATCTTCATGATTTTGTTTTTTAATCCAGGTCTTTCCTGTGGTATATTTTTGCATTATCTTTCATTCTCTTGAGCAAAACCAAAAGAACGACAGACACATTGTTTTTATAACATACAGTTCTATAGAAGATGAAATTAAGTTTTTATAGTCTGGAATTGGAGTGGTTCCTCTCAGAAACTGCTAAGTATAATTTTACCTTTAACATATTTTAGGTATTTATAAATTTTCATGAGTTTCGAAAACTTCATTTGGAAAATCAACTAAGTCATTGTTAGTACTCTGAGAATGTTATTACACATCAATATTAATATGATGTGGATACTATAACAATGAGAATATCTTTTCCTACCCTATTTTCTTACAGAAACCAGATTTTGCACTGGTTTTTAATGTAATTAAAAATATGTGTTTATCTTATTTTAAAATCCTCTCTCTTTGTCATTACTTCTGTTTTATTCATTAGATATTTCGGTCTTGCTGGCCTCACTTTTCATTCCTTTATGTAGGTTTCTGTGCAACAAAGTGACTTTCCTCTAGAGCCCAACACAGAGCTTTGCATGTAGTAGATGTTCCTATATTGAATAAATGTAGACTGGTAGATTTCCCCAACTAGTTTTAGGGGACAGTGGATAAGATGGCTTGACTGGGCTTGATATGTCAACTTGATTGGGCTGAGCTATAGTCCTTAGCTATTCAATCAAACATAAACTTAGGTGCTATAATGAAGGGATCTTGTAGTATAAAGTCCTTAATCAGTTGACTTTAAGTTAATCAAAATTATCCTGGATGGGTCTGACCTAATCAGGCATGCCCTTTCAACAAGGCTTTCTTTGGGCTCAGACTCTAAGAGCTGCTAGGTCTACATTTTCTCTCTCTCTCCCCTGGATCTTGGGGTAGCAGCTTATGATTCTCCCATCTTTTTTAATGATCACTTATTTATTTATTTATTACATTAAAAAAAATTTCAGTTAGAGTTGACAATATTATTTTATATTAGTTTCAGGTAAACAGCATAGTGGTTAGACATTTACATTATGATTTTCCTTTCTTGATGGCCATGGACAATAAGCTTCAGCTGTGGGCCTGCAGCCTGCTTGTGACCTTTCTTCCTGACCGCCTGGGGACAGGAGCTTCAGTCTGTGTTCATAAGTAACAGCTTGCTCATTTCTTCCCTTTTTGAATGTCGACCTTATGGACTTCGGACTTGTTTAACCAGCCCTCAAAATAGTGTAAACTGATTTCTTGTAACACACACATACACAAACACACATTCTCTCTTTCTCTCTCTCTCTCTCTCTCTCAAGCTCTCTCTCTCTCTCTCTCCTGATTCTTCCCTGGTTGAACTCTAACTGGTAGAATGGGTATCTGATTCCTCCTCTTTTATTCCCAATGATTCTCATTGAGTTTAGATCTCATAAATAAATCTTGGCTGAGTGGGTCCTGGAATCTTCAAGGTCTAAAATGAACTATACTTGAAGTACAATTTTAATAAACATACAGGCTTTATATAAACCAGTGTATCAATATTTCATTTTTTATTTAAAGTGTTTTTCCCTTTTATTTTTTCTTTTTTTAAATTTCGGTTTCCTTTATTTCGATGAAAAGAAAATAGCTGAGTTTTGGACATATTTATTCTACTTTCCCTCTCATATGTCAGAATTCAGTGAGCAAAGAAACCCAGGGCAGAAAAACTATTCTGTTAGAGCTACAAATAGCTGCATCCCAGCTAGTGAAAGATGTTTGGAGTTGAGGGCTTGTCTTATCTGAGGGTGCTGAGTCAGGAAGGTATTCATCACACACACTTTAATTTCGAGGCGGGGCGGGGGAAGGCAACATTCTTTCCAGCCCCCTTACTCGAACTGATATGTGTCAAGGATAAGGTGAAATTCTCAAGGGTCTACAATAAAGTCACTAAAATGGGTTGGGTGGAAAGTAAGAAATGTAACTTTTAATTGGAGAAATGGAAGAGTTAAAAATAGAACTAATCAGGAACAATATCTTTCTGCAGCCTGCCTGCCTGTCTTCCTTCCATGTTCCTTCATCCCTTGGTTTCTTATTTTTTCTTTTTCCTTCTCTTTCTTCTTTTTCCATCCAGCAGTTATGGTGAGGTAAAATTGTGATAAGATGCATTGGGAAATACTTTTCACTGACAGATTGTCAGAGAGTTGGAAGGCCAACCCCAGGCCTGGTCAGAGTAGAGTTTGATCTTGCTCAGATTAGGGGCTTGGCTAAAGGCATTCACTTATCTGTAGTTCTGCTTGTTTTTGTCTTGGGAAGCTGGTGCTAGGAATGTCTTTAAACTGGAGGCACCCTGGGATCACAATAAGGCCCAGATGGAGATGGGGAGAAAGCTGGCTGACATCCAGGCCTGTGCCAAAGGCAAGGGAGGTTGAAGTCCATAGCTGGCCTGGCCCAGTTCACCAGGGCTCGAGGGAGACAAGTTCAGGTGCTAGGCTACAAAGCATATTTTCATGGAATGTCATCTTGCATGTGTCTCTGGGAAGATATAGAGGCGAACTGGCCACGGTGCTGGAAGAAGTAGCTGCTATATGGCTATCATGATGAATGGATGATCTTGCATTTAGAGACTCAGAATCCAGCATGTCTTTTGGATTCATAACTAATGGAAAGATGTCCCAGTTCTGGTGGATGGGCTGGGACAACATGAAAGCCTTTTCAAAGATGTCTTATTTCACTCAGCCCTAATCCTGTGGCATTTGCTTTATAGAAACAAAGTTAATAGAGGAATAAAATATTACTTAAACTTCTTTTGGGGACCTGTTTAATTTGGCTTGTGGTAAAGAATAATGTTCTGAGGAACATTATGCTAGAGAGATTTAAGGAAGATTAAGGAGATTATTAAAATATTCTTTCTTAGATATGGCGGAGGTTTGTAACACTTTTAAATCACTGTCGAAGAAACAAAAGGATGTGTTACTAGGTAGCGTTGAATGAAATACACAGAGGAGGATGTTTTAATATTAATCTATATTTTACCTCCAGGAATACCAAATTATAGAACTATTGTATTATGCACCCCAAAATTATAGTTTATCATAAAAGGGTCATATGCACCATTGCCTTACAAGAGAAATTTTATTTGAATTATAATGCGTTTCTAAATGCATTATAGAATGATTGGTAGGAGGTGTAGTCTTTTGTAACACAAAGAGATGCTGACTAGAATTACAGTTCCCATTAAAAGGAATATAAGTGAAATAACTTTGTTTCAACAGTCATATCCTAAGGGCAAATGGGTCATAGGGAGTGATTAAACTGAAAACATGAAGCCAGTAATAATCACTATATATGTATCCCCTGTGGTTGACCGTCTTGTTTTTTCCTCAGGACTTTAGCTTTCCCAGACATTTACCATTGTGTTGACATATACTGATAACAATAATAGAATGATTAAATATGCCATTAGATTTTTCACCATAGAAGTATTCTCAGCACAAGAGACAACATATTGGTATTCCTTTCTAAATTAAAATATCATAAAGAGGGCAAAAGGATTCGATAGTTGTAGCAAATAGTTTGATGGCAAGAAAAATACCATAGATCAGAAACATGAGCTTTTGTAGTAAAAACCCAAGTGCAGTAATGATAAAAACAATGCTTTAAAAACTATAGGGCATATATTTGAGTCAGAACAGCTCTTCACACAGCAAACAATGGAACACTATCAATGTTGACTTAAAGCTGTTATTCTGACCTGATAATCCTGAACAATTGGCAAAAATGGGAATGTATGTTTGAGCTCTTAAAATGAAAATTCTACTTCAGGAAATTGTCTTCAGAGCAATATGACTCTCAGAAGGGATATAAAAATATTTCTAATATATTTTTGGAATGCCCTCGGCTTGGGCCACAATGGCACTCTGAATTTTTAATACAAGGATTTATATCGACATTAAATACTCTGTATGCCCTTCTTGTAGCTGGTAGAAGAGAAATACCTCACCTGGCAGATTTGTGTAGGTTTTCCGTGTGTCAACGTTACATTATGACTTTGTGTAGTTTTTAGGATTGACATAACTGTAGAATGAGGAACAAGAGAAGGAGAAGATGTGGAGAAACAGAGGG